GGTGTGTCTTAAGGACGTGACAGCCCTGCTCTGAGGTGGAGAAGACTTTTGACTTGCCCATGACATAGTTTTGGTTTTCAGATCTCTTTTTCCAGAGTACTTATCCATATACCTTTGCCAGTTTTAAGGAAGAACATTGTAATTCCCTGTTCCTGTTTCAAATGTCTTTTTTTTTTTTTTTCAGTGAAGAATTTTTCTTGAAGAATACCAGCTAATTTGTACCACTGTGGCACAGAATTAAAAGATGTTCAGGAGTTTGGCTTTCGACTGTCAATCTAGATGTTTTATCTGTGTTTTGGTGGGACTGGCAGGAGATGAAGGGTATTATGTCGTTTTGGAGCAGAATCAAAATTTTGGAAAAACATGTATTTAGAAGGCTAATAGGCCGCTAACTAGTCTGTGATTATGCTTTGGTACCACAAAGCAGAAAACATTCTCCTAGACTTAGGTGAGTAGAAGACATGACTGAGACATTTGACAGCTGTTGCTCTTAGGCCATGGTTTTATCTTCTAATTTATCCTGAATTTGTTTCATTTCGTGGTTTGCCTTAAACACTTTGCATTAACATAGTGGGTCTGCTTCTTGGGTGCTTTTAAGCACTAGGATCATACAAGTGGCCTGATATGGAGCTGGAACTGTCCCCTATAACATCATCCCATTTGGCAAATTTACACCAAAAGCTGAAAGATCTAAAAATCCTGTGAAGCATCTCATTAAAATAGAAGGGTTTGTCCCTCAGTGGGTAGATTTGGAGAAGGTTTCATGTATTGCAGTGACCCCACTGCACGTGCCAGTACTGGCTGGAGGTGTGATTGAATGGATTAACAGGGTGATCAGCACACTGCAGAGTTATATCCTCCTGAGAAACAAGCTTGCACTTGCTAAAGTTAACTTTATAAGGATTCTAATAGGATTTGTAGCATGTCCTAATGGAATATCTTGTTATCCCTGGAGGAGAAGATAAAATTCCTCTGGGCTTACCATTTTAGGCTGATATGAAACAGGTTTTATAGAAGAATGTCCAGTTTAGATACTACTGGTAATCTTGAATGTTAGCTGAAATACAAGATGGGGATTCTACCTGCAGCATGCATCAGAAACATGGTTGCAAAATGAAAGTAATTTAACGGCTTAAGCTGTGATTAATCAGACATAATGCTGTCAGAACTTACCCGTCCCCTACTTAATTTTTCTATCTGCTATCATGATTTAGAGATAATGCTTTTCACCATTCCAGGTACACCAGAGACTTGTTCAGACTAGTCAAAGCTCCTTTGGTTAGTGGTGCTAAGAAGTTTTCACTTGCAGTTAGGAAGGACCTGTGCTGTGAGCCAGCGTGTTACATGTACAGGATGATCATATAGACTCTTGAGGGCCCTGGGCTTACCAGCAGAGTCCTGTCTGCAGGAGTTTGGTGAATTGATGAGAGCAAGGAGAGCAATTCATCTGCAGAGAGCAAGGAGGGAGATGGAGGCCATGGGGAGACAGCAGAGCCGTGTAATAGTGGTGGTATTTACCTTCAACAGTTGATCACATGTAGGCTGGTTTTGTCTGATGCTGGGCTTGGACCAAGAGCACATTTATTTAAAAGCAAGTAAGTTTTTTTTCAAGTATAGTTTGCAATCTGCCATTCTCTTGCATCCAAATGAGACTGTTTTTATGCGCCTCATGTATGACAGACAGGTTTTAAAATCTATTAGGAAGTGAGATAATGATGCAGCTGCAGCTGCTCGTCCTTTGAGGAGCACCAAGCATAAAGCACCCAGGTCTCTTTTGGATGCTTTTTTTTCAAAAAAAAAAAAAAAAAAAGTCATACTTTTAGATTTTTCTCTTATTATGGTGGTCTAAATAGCCTCCCTGCTTGAGGTTGCTCATCTGCCTCTGCAGGGTTTTCTTTGTTGCTCAAGTCTGGTTATTAACAGTTGCTGCTTTGCCATCACTTTTTCTTCCTCCTTCTGGGGAGCAGCATGGAGGGGATTTGACTTTTTGGAAAGGTTAATGTGCAAAAAAAAGAGATCTCTAGAATGGTAGTGTTTTGATTTGGTTCTTGTAGGAGAAGCTTCATCGGTCTTGTAAATAAGGACGGTAGAAATTCTGATTAGTTAATAATGCAGACCTTGAATTTTTCCTTTCACCCATATTTGTGGAATGGGATCCATGTCCGGCATCCATTCCCACTTCTACTTCAGCTTGGGTGCAGTTCCTCTTGCATATGTGTAGGTCCTCAGCTCTTCACATCATTTCACAGCTGTAAAAACCAAATTATTTTCCAAACACTTCACCATTACTGGTATTTAGTTTACAAGTTTGAATCAACTCCTGGCATAGATTGGGAGGGTTTTTTTTTGTTGGCAGGGTCTCTTTTTTATCATTGTTGTGGTCAAAAACATTTTGCCTTTTAAATCTACAAAAGAGTTGGCTATACTCTCGGGTAAGGACTCTCTAAGAGGACCATAGCATCTGTGAAATTCTGTGTAAGCATCTTGCAATTTAAATAGTTATTATTTGTGTGCTGATGTTAAGAGGGATAGAAGAGGGGGCTGAGCTGCCAAGTCTTTGAAGTTTGGTAGCATAACACATAATCTTCCATTACGAATCTTATTTTATATGGTAATTGGCTCATTTGCTCTTTGTTTATCTATTTAACTTCTCTACCACAAACATCTGTACTTGCTTTGTGTTAATGCTGAATATTGGCATAGTTATACTATAAAAGTGCATTTTAAAAGCATTTTTTAATTCATTAACTGGGAATTAATTGATAATAAAGTGAACACTTCTCTTATTATCCCTTTGTAAGCAGCTTGGCATTTGCTCCATAAGCCAGAAAAGCAAAGTCACTGTGAAAAAATAATGTTTTAGATTCTTTATTTTCTAAATAAAAAATAATTTGCTATGGTTGGAATATTCTTTTTTTTTTCCCACTCTGTAAGCATTTCAAGAATCAATATGTGTGTGTGTCCGTCTACATACGGAGAAAGCGATGGAAAGGAAATGAGAACATAAACTATTGATCAAGCAGACTGGAGCAAAATTACTCATTAGTTAAAAATGGCTAACGATGAAGGAGCAATGATCTATCACAGGCTGACATCAGGATGATGCATTTAGGAAAGGGCAAATCAGTAGTAGAATGAATTGGGCAAGATATTTACTGTAGAGAAAACACTGTACTTCTGCCATTTTTCAAGCCACTGGTGAGACACATCTGAAATGAATGCAAATAATTGAAACTCTCTGGGCTACAAAGTTTCAGAGCATATACAGAGGGTCTGCGAGGATGGTCATGCCCAAAATGAGCAAACATGCCTTGTTGAGCCTAGCAAAATAAAGGCTGGAGTATGGGAGGGGAGAGGAGACATAATGCAGCTCACAGGAAGTAAAAATCCTGAGGATAAATGTCAGGGAGGAATAAAAATTGAAAATAAAAGGCACTGTTTTCATAGAGAATTAGTAATCGCAGTTTGGCCGCAAATATATGAGAAGGCAGTTTTCAGGTGTCAGAGGTATATACTGCTACAACAGCTGTGATACAGCTAGTGAGAACCCAAAGACTGAAATCATTTTAAGGTGGAGCTTATAGGACACTTGGTAAATTTACCATAAGTTTCTACCAAATGGGTGTCTGAAGTCACAGGCAACTGGACTCAGCCCCAGCCAGGTTTTTGCTCCTATGTGAGCAAGTTCAAGCAGTGAATATATCTGTACATATTTCTGTCATTTCTGGTGAAGTTTATCTGAGAACTCGCCCATCTTCTTACTCTATAAATATATATTTCCTTGTGTTAACATTCTGTTATTTATAATCTGCAACTTGATGGGTTTTTGGAGAGCTGCTTGTCTCCAGCTATCTGGTTTTAAAAATATTAAATCCACCTACAAAGCTTGCCAATCACTTCCCAGGAAGGAGTAAAACACCATCTAGTATTCCTTACTCCTTAGCATGAAATAAATCCCAGTGGTTGGTGAAGTGTGTGAAATGTTTGCCTAAACTCTGCAGCCCTTCCCTATTGACTTTGTTTGATAAATATTAAAGGGCAGGAGGCTGCTTTTGACTTTCCTGGAACTTGAACAATCAAACCTGCCAACATGAGTAAGCAAGTTGCCCTTATGTGGGCGAGCGCAGTAAAAACAAATAAATGAATGTAGTTCACAATAGATGATATTCAAATTGTAGGTGCCTGCAAACAGCTCTTCTTTCTGCCACCAGGCTAAAGAATTGGAGAGTCCTCATATGCCACTTGATGCTTCTTGGTGGCACGTTTATTCACAGAAGATTTTATAACGTGTCTGCACATTGGACACTTGGGGCTTGTGTTATCAAAAAATTCTTGTTCAATTATCTTTGAATTTTTGTGGATTTTAAATATCTTTAGTTTAATGAAAGCTACTCTGAGCACATAAGGACATTTCAGAAGGCAGCCAAGACCCAGAGATAACACCTTTGGTACCTGTCTGAGATGAGGCACCTGCCTGTTGTAGTGTGTTGTGAAATACACACCTTTGGCCATACGTATGTTTTATCATGTATGTACGTGTGTAGTCCTGTATGTAGCATTTCTTGGGTGTTCACAAACCAGAGGAGAAAATCTTTGGATTAATACAGTGTTATCTGTTTGATAAGCTGAGTTTCTTCACAGAAACTCAAGGCGATGGTAGCCTAGGAAAGTTTCATTTAGTTTCATGTCCACTCATTTTAAAGTTTTTTTTTTAATATCATTTTAACTTATCTGCTGACTTCAAGTTTTACTCATTTCACACTAAAATGGCTGCTTGTTTAACTGGCCCAAACGTAATTTTGAAATAATGCAGAACATGTGTCAACTTCCATCAAACCCCGATCTGAAAGTTTCCACCAGCAGTGCTACTGTTTGTGCTTGACTCCCTGAAGCCATCTCCTCGTGCATTGAGTCTTACTGTATGTTTGAGTATGAGCACAACTGATGTGGTTTGGTGGGCGCTAACACCATCTTTTGTCTTTCTTCCATTTTATTTGAAGTTCCTCCTCAGTTTCTGAAGCGGCCTGCAAATATTTACGCTCACGAATCAATGGACATTGTGTTTGAGTGTGAGGTGACTGGAAAACCTACTCCAACTGTGAAATGGGTCAAGAATGGAGACATGGTCATCCCAAGTGACTATTTCAAAATCGTTGTAAGTACCTTGTCCATTTTGCAGATTTTTAAGCTGTTGACCTGTCTGTTAGTCCTCCAACCATACACATGGAAGCCAGGTTCCTCCATAGGACCAGCTTCTTCTTTTTTTGCTATTGATGTTTGGGGTCTGGGAGAGAACTGGTTTCTTGAAAGCTTTAATGCTCCATAATTCAGTCGTTCTGCTGCAACACATGTTGCTCATACTGTATCATTCTATTTTAACTGACTTGTGGATTGTGAGTTTTGGCACAGCAGTGCTTCTAAAGGGAAATTTTAGATGTAGTAAAAGTCATTATCGAGACATGGTTGAGAACTTAACGGTTGTATAATTGGGTATACCTGAGATTGTAGGATTGTAACAGTGAGCTACACGGTTGTATTCAGTGCTTAAAATATCATAAAAATGGCTGTGGAAATGTTATGACTTGCTAGTGATACGTGATGCTAGAAAATGATAGCCATTAGTAAAGCTTCTGCTGCTTTTTGATACCGTATAATTTGAGGATTCAGTGCAAAAGGAGATGAAATCTGACAGGAACTCCAAATTCACTTTCCCATGTTAGAGTTCAGAGGTTTCTCCTGTCATAGTAACGTACTGTAATAGCACCATTGTTTTTGCAATTGCATCCCATTGTTAAGTGTTGTCTTTTTCCTTTACTCTTCAGAAAGAACATAATCTGCAGGTTTTGGGTCTGGTGAAATCAGATGAAGGATTCTATCAGTGCATTGCAGAAAATGATGTCGGGAATGCACAGGCTGGAGCCCAGCTGATAATACTTGACCTTGGTAAGATAAACCAGGACAAGACAGCGCCAAAAGATGGGGAGGAGCAATACCAAGGGACCATTTCCAGATGATGTGTTGCCTCAATAACTCAGCTAGAGCAGGGTGTTTTTTAAAAATGATGTGAGTAGTTCAGTGTCATCTTCTGTACACATTCAGGAGAAATTAAGGAGTTCTATGGGATCCAGCTTGGATTTTGGAAAAATGTAGAAAATATGTAGTGTGATAATTAACCCTAGCCAGAAAACTGAAATATCGTTGCATGCTAAGATTTAGAAAAATAAACCAAAGCAGGATAGCAGAAATGAAAACAATTGCTGAAACGACAGAAGTGAAAAATAATCAATTTTGGAACACCCTGCAATGAGACAAGTCAGACAAGAAATTGTGAATTCTTTACTTTTGGGAGCTTTTGTATTGCCTGTCTTTTGGGGTATTGTTTCAAAATTCTAATTCCTCTTTTATTTGGGTGGGAAGGGTTTAGGAGAAACAATCTTATGTGTGGTCAGAGGCATGATGGAACTTCACACTTGCAATTTTAACAGATTTGAGTCCACTAGACCTGGTTTTGGTGTTCAACTTACAGAGAGTAAACTGTTCTGAGCATGCCATGAAAGGGAGAGATTTTTCCGTTTCTGATTGTTTTGTAGACTAGTTGTGGTCTTAAAACTTCTGAATTCTTGGTGGGGGTATGTGGATGTTTCATTGCTGGCTGAAGAGCTGCTTGGACTTTGCACAGTGCTTTGGGGAATGAAAAGTGCCTATGTTGGATTCAGCAGCTTTAATGCTACAGAACTGTGGGATTTCAGCCCCCAAGTAGTGTTGGGCATCTGGATCCAGCAGTGGCCTGCTGTCCTCAGGTTGCCAGAAAAATTATTAAAAGTAATTTCATTTCTGCTCTGTGGATGAATCACCTGAGTATTTTCCAGACCTTGCTGGTGGAAGCATTATTCCATATTTTCCACATTTGAAAAATACTAAACAATTAATGTCCTTGGGTTTTGAAGCCCTGCCCAAGTTTGGACTCTGACACAGTTCCCAGTAGTGGTTTATAAATTACTATGCCTGTTATTATTTTAGTTCCTGTGGTCTCACTCTTCTTCCTTTCCCTCCCTCGTTGTTTGCCTGGTGGTTTTTCCTTCCTGTTCTCCTCTGGCAACCTGTCCTGTCACACTGAAGGACTTTGCCTTATAATGCTGTCCTTTTTCTTTTGCATGCTGCCAAAGGATTATGGATGCAGTGTTGATGGAGTCTCATTTTGGGTGTAAAGTCACAGCCTCGAAGCCGTGTTTTTCTGTTACGTGGTTTTAACAATGGGCTCCCTGGGTAACACGGATTGTTGTAGTTGTTTCCCAGCAGTAGAGGAAACCACCCACTTCAGCCCTGAGGGCACGTGTGGTTTTCCTTCTCGTTGAGTAGTGGCCTCACAAGCAGCACCATTAGGAGTGAACGTGCCGTGCCGTGGTTGTGATACGTGAAAACCAGTACGCGTGGTCAAGGAAAGTACAGTTGTTGGATGTTTTATTGCCTTCTCACACGGTGTGACAGCAAACAAGGAAGCAGCACTCAGGTAAAGAGGGTGAAGGTGTCATACATAGAAGTTCTTCCACGACACCTATCTTGATGTGAAAACTAAAAACGTGAATTTGAGCAAAAGGTGTTCTGGACACTGATCGTTAATTCAGAAACCTTTGTTTAGTTTTCATTTCATACCGATGATGGGAAATACCTACGTTGCCAACTGGAAAAGTAATTTCAGTGAAAAAATGTTGATTGAACGATCATCAGAGTTCTTCCCAATCAGCAGTGTGTCCCTTCCCTTGCTGTTCTCTATTTCTTCCTTCCTAAATGGCACTGGCAAACATCTGGCTGTTTACGCTTCCCCATTAGCCCTTTTGCTTATCGTATCAAATTGATCTTTTTTAAATTAGAAAGTAGTAGCCTGATGGAGTCTTTCAGAGAGGCTGCCCACATTTTTATGGGCCAGTGTTGAAGAAATGAACCAAGACTATTGTGTGGGCGTCAATAAATGGACCACAGGATTGATTGTGGTAGAGTTGATGACAAGGAAGGCGGTAGTTGGTTACCATTAGAGGTGAGTTGGAGTAGCTGGAAAAGGCAGTTACTCAGACTGTGAGGGAGATAAAGGTAAGAGAGGTTAAATAGAAATAAACCAACAAAATTATTTGCACTTTGTATGTTAGATCAAAGCTCAGTTGCCTCTTCTGTACATTAACTTGTTTCAGTCAAACCCTTCATAGGGTTAGTCTTGGAAGTCTTCTTCTAAGAATTCTTCAAAGGGTTAGTCTTAGTCTTCATAGTCATAGAAGGGAGCGTAGGGGAGGTTTAGGCTGGACCTGAGGAACAGTTTCTCCCCTGCCAGGGCTGTCAAGGCCTGGCCTTCCCAGTGTGTCTGGCATGGCTCAGAATGGCCATTTGGGGACTGAAAAAAGAACAGGTGGTTTTAAGGAAAAGAAGGTGCCTTTGGCGGGGAGGCAGATGGTTCCCTGTCACCCCTGTGTGACAGGCATTTGACAAGTGCTCAGGCACCAAAAAAAAAAGTGATTCTTGAGTGCTGTATAAAGAAAATCATAGACTGTAAACAAATATGCCACGTTATTTAGAGAACAGTTTCAAAACATCATTTGAGATGCACTGTATCACCTTCAGAATTCCAAAGTGTAGAATACCACATGATTTTTGTGCTTTTGTACTGCAAAAGTTATTGTTTGCTGCTCTGTGCTGTGCTTGTGAGGAGTGAGATCTTCAAGTGAAGGAGTGGAATATGCTGCCTGTATCCAGTGGTGCCCCACATCAAGATGGTTTGTAGCACAACTATCCATTTCTTTCAACTGAAATTTTTCACGGAAAATAGTTTATCTCCAAACGAGGCTGTTCTGGGTGGGAATTAACATTACCAGCATGGGAAATGACGAGGAGGAACTAGGAGTTTGCATGTTGTTGCAGAGCTGTGAGGTGTTTTGGGATTGAGGAGATGTCTTGGGATAGCTGCATGGGATGGGTGCAGGAGCTTTTGGAGGAGTGAGGGAGAAGAGGTCATGCTGCTGCACACAGAGTGTTCACTCAGATGCGTGTTGCTGTGCCTTCTTTATCCCTTAAAAAAGGATTTCTGATCAGCTAAGAGAAAACAGGTTCACAGGGAGAGAAGTTAAGAGTCAGAACAAGTTCCCCAGGGAGCCTGTGAAGTCTGTTCTTGTAAATACTCAAGGGGGACCCGGACAAGGCCCTGAGCAGCCTGGTCAAAGCTCTGTTCTGGACGAGGGGTTGCACAGCTGAGCTCCTGAGATGCCTCCTGGCTGGTAGTACTGGCCGATTCAGCAAGCCTGTTGGTCCGAGAGGTGGGAATTATCCCATTTAGCTCTTTGCATGGAGTCTTAATGTCTTGTAGTCAAATTATGACAGTTTTGTGGTATGTGTTTCTCTGCTGATCTCCTTAGGAGAAGCATAAATGTCTCATCTTGGTGGCACAGTTTGACATTACAAACCATTGATTAAAGTATAATACGACTTGAGCTGCACTGTATGATATTAATTCCTCTTCTGAATTGCATTGTTTGGATCCTAATTCTGAGAGACTTTTAAAGGCATCAATTATTGACCTAAATTGCTGCTTTCCATGTGTAATTGAATCCTGTCCAGGGCCATTGCTACATGAATAATTTCATTTTATGTTGGTACTCCTCTGCCAGGGTATGGCCATGAGCTCTGTCAAGTCTGAAAGCAGTGAAATGAGGTGGCCAGGACTCCTGTTAGGGCAAGACAGGGCAGGCTGGTGGCTGGAGAACATCAGTCTGGTTAAGGTTCTCTGAAGCCAGCACATCTCAGCTAAGATTGTGCTGAAAATGTGACGTTTCGGTACCACAAGCAGTGCTCCGTGGATTGAGGTCACTTGAGGCTGACTCAGACTCGGAGATTTCAGTGGCCCAGATTTTGTTAACAAACTCTCTTGCATGATATGGAACCTGCCGCCCCCCCACAGTTCACCCTAGTTCAGTATCTCCTTTCCTTCTGGCACTGAAGCCCTGACAACTATTCTGCCTGTGATTTTCCAACCAGTTACCAATCCACTTTTGCAGTGGCTTTATTGGGAAGATCTTTATTAACTTTTGGAAAAGTCGTGTGAGGTGATGTCAGAAGCCTTAAGTGAAGATGCAGGAAATGCTGTTTTTCCATATCTGTAAGTTCCATTATTCTGTTGCAGGAGGCAAATATAAGTTCTTTTTGACAAATTTTGGCTTCTGCTGAAAGAAATCCAAAAGTTGGCACCAGCAGGCTTGTGCTCTGATTTGAAACACTTGGTTGCACTTTTGGGTATTTTCCATATGTAAAAATTTACATAAATTTAACTTCTACCCTTGTCTGGTTCAAGTCCAGAGACAGGCAAGTCGCATATTACTTCAGGACTTATTTTGGATGATTCCACAGATATCAAATATAACTTCCCAGCTTCTCTCACATCTTGTAGAGGTGATTTTTTGGCCTATTTTGTACACAGTCACATACTGTGAATCAAGAACTTTTAGTGTTGTTATCAAGGTAGAATAGTAAATATTTTCTCAGTCCATGGAATTCTGTAGAGACTATGGAAGTATTTAAAAATATGTGGGGTATTGTGGATGAAATCTCTGAGCAAGATGAGGGAAGGTTCACTGAATAAAAGAGAAGAACTCTGTTAGGTGTTCCTCCTGAAGACTCTTCTATTTCTGCACTCAAACAGAAGCGTCTTCATGTTCTGTCTGTCTTATACAATTTCATGTGCAAGAGCAATTGGAAGAGGTCCCTGTGGTTTACAGGAGTGGCTTGCAGAAGTCTCGGTGTCCACCAGAGAGGAAATTATTTGTAGATGAAAACTGAATAGTAACATTGCAAATTCAAACTTTCTGTAAAGAGGAAAATGTACTCAAAAGAAATGAATCACGAATCTCAGGGGAACAGGAAATAGTAATGAACCTGACAGGAGGTCTGTGCAAAGGGCACCCACC